CGGACATTCACCAAAGCGACTAATTTGATTGTCAACATTCACCGGTGAACATTGGCCAGCCAGAATCACACCACACGCACGTGGTTGTCCCATTGCTGTCAATTAATCAAAGTGCCCAAAGAAATAATAGCGGTATTTATAATGACCGGGCAATGTGAGAAATTATCGTAAAGTAATTCAAATTTATCAAATTGCCCAATTTTAATGGTCATTATTCATAATAACTAAGCATTATGAATACTGACCTAAATAATTACATTGCCCGTAACATATATATGTATCTATGTAAATGTGGGTATATTTGTACGCCCGTACGTTTGTACGTATATACACAATTTATATATGTTCAATATATGTACGCATATATGCGCTATCATTTACTTTTCCTTTAAGGAGGAAAGGTAGGAAATTGCAATATTTTTACGTCATTGAAAAAAGGTTTTTACTGCAAACCTTTTCGTGACAATGAAAATAAAGTTAAAACCGAGGTTGTCGTAAGGTTACATGCTTTCTGGGATTAAGTGCGATTTCTTCGAATCTAATAAAGTTACTCTTTTATTTTCTACCTTCATTGATACAATGATGTCTAATGATACAACATCATCAAAAGTTTGTCTGGTGCAAAAAACATGGAGAAAACACAAATGAAATATTTAATCTAGATCTAATCTAGAAAAATGTATGAAAGGGTCACCGGTGTCCTATCTGCATTAAAAGGTTAAAGAGTGAATAAAGTTTCTAAAGTTAAATTAAGTTTTAAAGTTCAGGAAATTTCAGTTAGTTTCAGGTAATATAGTTTTAACCTTCTGCCTACAGCGCATGATAGCACCTGCTATTTTGAACCTTCATTTGTACCAGCCGTTATAAATCTAAGAGCATTCATCATTATTTCATCGATTTAGGTAAGGGGAGATTATCACGACGATATTTATTACGAAATTGTCTGGATAGAAAAATCAATTGTTAATTCATTTTTTTTCCCATAAAAAAAAATCTTCTCTACTGCCCTGAAATCAAGTTCCGTGACTTTTTTTCGAGTAACTCTTTCAAATTCGTTTTTTTTTGTTTAGGAAGGAACGAGGTACTATAGTCAGTCGACTAAAGCAGGAATGTTTCTCCTACCCGAAAAAATAAATTAACTTAACAGGACCAACTAAAGATATTGTTTGTGGACAGTGGCTAGTGTTACTATGGACACGTAGGAGTTGAAGGGGAATGGGACTCGCGGGTAGTTCGTTACACTTAGCCGGCCGTGAATAGATAACATGCCGGTTTTTATAAACGTGGTTTGTTGACTCATCGGATAACACAAAAATATGGTAATATTTTGTATTGACTCTTTAATACTCGTAGTAATTGAATATTTTTGTTTTTTGACTAATTTTAATGTTCTATTAAAAAAAGCTATTATTACTCGGATTAATTGAATATTTTTGTTTTCTGACTAATTTTAATGTTCTATTAAAAAAAAGTTATTATTACTCGTATTAATTGAATATTTTTGTTTTTTGACTAATTTTAATGTTCTATTAAAAAAAAGCTATTATTACTCGGATTAATTGAATATTTTTGTTTTTTGACTAATTTTAATGTTCTATTAAAAAAAGTTATTATTACTCGTATTAATTGAATATTTTTGTTTTTTGACTAATTTTAATGTTCTATTAAAAAAAAGTTATTATTACTCGTATTAATTGAATATTTTTGTTTTCTGACTAATTTTAATGTTCTATTAAAAAAAAAGCTATTATTACTCGTATTAATTGAATATTTTTGTTTTTTTGACCAATTTTAATGTTCAATTAAAAAAAGCTATTATTACTCGTATTAATTGAATATTTTTGTTTTTTTGACCAATTTTAATGTTCTATTAAAAACAGTTATTATTGCTCGTATTAATTGAATATTTTTGTTTTTTGACTAATTTTAATGTTTTATTGAAAAATGTTATTATTACTCGTATTAATTTAATATTTTTGTTTTTTTGACTAATTTTAATGTTCTATTAAAAAGAAGTGTGGGTTTGTTTTTAAAATTACATAAAAAACTATGAAGAAATTATATAAATATTAAATTTATTTTTATTTGTTTAATATTAATTCTCTATTCTTTGAACACGGGACTTTTAAATTGAGAACTTCAGATATTTTTTATTTGAAGTTTACAAGTAAGCTTTGAAACTATTTTAGTTTATTTTTAATTTTATTACTACTTTTTTGAGATTTCTATCAATAAAACTTTCAAAATTATATACATATTTAATTTATTTTAATTTGTTTAATATTAAGTCTCTACTGTTTGAACACGGGACTTTTAAATTGAGAGGTTCAGATATTTTTTATTTGAAGCTTTTAAGTAAGTTTTGTAACTGTTTCAGTTTATTTTTAATTTTATTACTACTTTTTTGAGATGTCTACCAATAAAACTTTCAAAATTGTATAAATATTAAATTTATTTTAATTTGTTTAATATTAATTCTCTACTGTTTGAACACGGGACTTTTAAATTGAGAGATTCAGATATTTCTTATTTGAAGTTTTTAAGTAAATTTTGTAACTGTTTCAGTTTATTTTTAATTTTATTACTACTTTTTGAGATATCTATCAATAAGACTTTCAAAACTGTATAAATATATGAGAAATTTGAAAAAAAAATTTATACGTCTTAAATATTAGCTGAATATGGGTGCAAATTAAGTTCTCTAGCCAAGTTCGTCTTCTAAAAGTAGTGAAATAGTGACTCAATTTCAAAATAGTTTGTAGTCGCTTACATTTAATACTTATTTTTAATTAATTTAACACAACATTTAATAATAACACTACATTTAATACTTAAAGTTAAAAAAATTATCACTGCGTTTAATAACGACATTACATTTAATAACGCTACATGTAATGCTTAAAGTTAACTAATTTAACACTACAATTAATAACAACACTATATTTAATATTAAAGTCAACTAATTTAACACTACATTTAATAATGCCATTACATTTAATACTTAAAGTTAATGCTAAACTTAAAGATAAATACTTTAAGTTAACACTTGATTAAGTTAACCCCACAGTAACAATCTACATCACGTTTTCTTTTGTTAGAAACAATGAAGGTTTATCATGATTCTAAGTCATTATAAATGATAAGATATTTCGTTTTGGATAAACTTATCTCAGAAAAATTACAATCAAAGCAGCAAATTTATGAACGTTATTCTGAATGGAAAAAAGAGATATTATAAAATTTTAATTTTGAAGATGTTGAAGCTTATAGTATCCGGAGTGTTATGTAATCAACCCTTTGTTCATATAAATTTTTAGAATCCTTGTAAAATATTAAGTGAAAAAATTATGCAACTTACACGGAGTAAAAAAAATTCTGGCAAAATTACCTCACTATTTGATTATTTCATACCATAATTCTAGCAAACTAATGAAAAAATCCCATAATTCTGGTTAATAAAAACAAAATAAAAGGTATTTAAAATATTCTTTTGGAAATTTTTCCGTTCGTACAGTAACGGTTTGCAGAAAATTCTGTTTCTCAAAATTGTAGTTCGTATCGTATTACCGCACATTGAGTAAAAAATACAGAACTGAAAATAAATTTAACTGAATAAATGGTTTTTATTCCAGGCTTTAAGATATCATGATAAAATCACCAAATTTTACCAAATTTTAACGCATATTATAAAACCATATTTTATTGTCAATTTACCTAAGCCAGGGGTGGCGAACCTTTATACACCAACGTGCCATTTTTTCTAAAAAATTGCTTAATGAGGTCATAAACGTGCCGTCAAATAATTTTGACTTCGTGATTAATGGGAAAATAATAATACTTAACACTATCAACTCAAAACTCTTTATTTACATTGAAAATAAATACATTTTGACATGTCTTAAAACAACTTAAAGTAACATCAGTGTGACTTCTGTTGTTGCAGATTCGATGACAAATAACTTTTGTTAGGTTGTAAAATGTTAGTTTAAGCAGGACTGTTAATTTTTTTTTGCTAGTTGTTTATTGTTGGCTTGTTTTTTTTTTAGTATTAATTGTTAATTTTTTATTAATAATTGTTTATTATTTTGTTTGTTTTTGTGAATTTTAATTTAATTGTTACATATGCTTCATAGTGTAATAACATTTGTGCAATAGCAATTCATTGTGTAATAACAATTGTGATCGGTAGCGTGCCCAAAATATTGTGCCTCGTGCCATATATGGCACGCGTGCCATTGGTTCGCCATCCCTGACCTAAGCGCTTCGGTAAAAATTACCGAATGTTTGGTGTCTCCATATAGCCAGAAACACGGTAGTATTTGCTATATTCTGGTAGTTTTGACCACACTTTTTTCTCAGTGTAGGGGGCCGCAAACTAATATTTAAATGAGGAAAAACAAAAGCATTAACGACATCACAAATTCACTAGTAGGGAGGGCGGGTTTGTGACATATTTCATCAATCAATGAAAACAAGTTTCACTGTTTGATGGAAATGAGAAATATTTCTAATAACCACCTTTTAACTCCTTCCTATTTCGTCCAGTAATCAAACAGGTTTTGATGTTTTCGGCACTACTATTTTCAATAGTGATTCATCAAATTTTAATAGCATTTTAGTTTTTTCCGCTTAAATAATAACTCGGCACTCCTAATGTCCATATTTTAATGATGTAAGATTTTGGTTATGACGATGCACAATTAGTGATCTATTCTCATAAGCCATCAAATTTTTATTATTATTAAAAAATCATTTTTAATCACAAAAAATCATAAGCATAAGCCAAACCTTAATGGGTAAGTAAATCATTTAGTAACAATTTTTATTCGTGATCTTAATTGACACCGTGAAATCAAGAAATTTAATTTTCACAATTCAAACTTTTGTTTTATAATCGCTTGAATTGTAATTGTTTTACGAATCACTTCTTACAATTATTTAAATTTTAAATTGCGGTTCAAAGTAGTTTCAAATTCGTTAATTTAACTATAGTTCGTTAATATGACTATTTTCTAAAAAAGGAGGATTTAGGCTGTAAATTTACTAGGTTTTGTTTCTTTGCGTTAAAAATAGCTTCTTTTTTTTTACATAAAGGTAAAACTTTCATCCAAATGTCATGAAGAAAAGAGTCACCGACCTCTAAGAAACTTCAATATCAATAAAACATCAATCAAATTGCAATAATCGTTTCTCCGTTAAAAAGACGAAAATTACAAGAGGCAGTGTCATTTTTTTCTCCAAATAGTGATGTTAAAGTAAATATTCTATTTCATTTTTTCATGTTTTTTTTTTCTTTTGAAGTATGTATTGTGAACTTGATCAATTTTCAAACAAATTTAAGCCAGTTAAAAAGGGAAATATTGCACGGAGAAAAAAATTCTGGTAAAATTACAGCACTACATGGTAATGAAATTTCTGGTAAAAAAAAGACACTGGTACTAAAACCAAAATATGCGGTATTTATAAACCATTCCTTTAGTAATTTTTCCGTTCATATGTTAACGGCTAACCGATAATTCTCGTTTTCGAAATTATAATTCTTATTATCAAACATTTAGTAAAAGATACAAAACTGAAAAGTAAGTTTGCATGCTATGTATTATGATAAAATTACTAAATTTTACCTCATTTACCAAATTTCATCCCACATTATAACATTATATTTAATTTTACCAAAATCATTACCAAAGCGCTTCGGTAGAAATTTCCGATCTTTTCGATGTTCCCATAGAGCCAAAAACACGATAATATTTACCATATTCTGGTAGTTTTAACCATAAATTTTTTCTCAGTGTAGCAATATGCTTTTAAGATTATTACTTTTCCCAAATATGAGTTTTTTGCTACATCATAAAAATTCAGATAATGATATAGTTTCAATAGATTTTGAAAAAACAGAGCTTTTAAAATATTGGACCAAAGTAATCTCTGCTTGCAGGTACTTTGGCCTAGTCATTTTAATCACTAAAATAACATTGTGTTTGGTGAAATAATATTGAGCTGTCGGCAGCCATATTTATTTTCTAATGCAAGATTATACTAAGATTATACTGTATCAGTATCACCATCATTATGTGCACGTATATAAAAAATTATCAATTGATAAAATGTAAGAGAGTTTTATAAAGTAACGTTAAAATTTATTATCTATTAGAATATGTAAAGATCTTTACTTTATTAACGCTTTATTTCTTTTTGAGTTTGCTGCTGTTTTAAAAATTACTTTTAACGAATTACTTAATAATAACTGACAAAAAAATTTAATAAAAAGTAATTTTAATATCTATTGTTTATTAAATATATTATAAGTGTTTTTCAA